AAATCTGGATATGGTGTACAAAAACCTTTGCACCTTTTGTTTGCGGTATACCATCTTTTCCGCAAGTTTATTGTTTTCTGTTTAGTATTAAATTTATAATTAAGATCCATTTTTACATCGGTGATCCGTTTATTTGGCAATCGCCAATGGCAGTCAGCAGGGTTTAAGAACATTTGTTGTTCGACCTGTTAGTCAAATGCGTTTTGTTAAAATATACTTTTTCACTTTTTTGGTCTTTTGGAAAATGTTGTTTGTGCTGTATTTAGACCCCTCTAACAAGAAATTTGTTTTGCATGCACACGTATAAAAATTGCGGTTTTTATCCAACGCAATCATAGGTTTGAACGTTGTTTTCAATTTAGACTTGCTGTATTTAGACCCCTCTCACAAGAAATTTGTTTTGCATGCACACGTATAAAAATTGCGGTTTTTATCCAACGCAATCATAGGTTTGAACGTTGTTTTCAATTTAGACTTCTTTATATTTTTTCGTTTGGGCTTGTATTATATTTGCCTTCGGGTTTATATGATCCGTTCATCTTATTTTGACTCCTCAAAATTCAAGAGTCTATCCTAAATTGAGGTAAATTGTATGGCTTTCCAAATACCATTTCGATTCCTAACATCACTGAAGAGACATTAATTGTCTAAATACGGATATGGTGTACAAAAAATCTTTGCACCTTTTGTTTGCGGTATATCATTTTTTCCACAAGTTTATTGTTTTCTGTTTAGTATAAATTTATAATTAAGATCCATTTTTACATCGGTGATCCGTTTATTTGGCAATCGCCAATGGCAGTCAGCAGGGTTTAAGAACATTTGTTGTTCGACCTGTTAGTCAAATGCGTTTTGTTAAAATATACTTTTTCACTTTTTCGGTCTTTTGGAAAATGTTGTTTGTGCTGTATTTAGACCCCTCTAACAAGAAATTTGTTTTGCATGCACACGTATAAAAATTGCGGTTTTATCCAACGCAATCATAGGTTTGAACGTTGTTTTCAATTTAGACTTTTTTATATATATATATAAATTTTTTTTTTTCATTGTTTCTAAATATAGTGAGATTCTGACAACGTTTTTTTAGGTATTGATAAAATCTTAATCATGTTTTGGTTAGTGTATTGCTATAAATATTTCTTTTTTATTGTTTCAAAAGGAAATGGGATTCTGACGTTTTTTTTATGTGTTGAATAATTCGTAATCATGTTTTGGATAGTGTATTGCTATAAATATTTTTTTTCATTGTTTATGAATAAACATCTACAAAACATCTAAAAATTTATCAGGTTTTTGAATAAAAAAAATTCGTAAGGGTTCCGCGGAACCCAGTGTCTCGCCTACTTTTGCTGTTAATTGCAGGCTCAACAAAAATGAGGAAAAAAATTAATAAAAATATTCCTCTCTATACTATCTTTTGATTGTAAGTAGCTTCTGTCCAAGTTTGGTAAAAATCCAGGATGGTTTTTGAATCTAATAAATGTTTTTAAAACTTTAACTGCAGACTGTATGTAAAGTTAACTGGAAGAAAAACTAAGTCCATTTATAAGTAAAATACGGAAAAAATGGAACATATTTTTATCAAAATTTTCTTCTAGATACTATCTTATGATCATAAATAAGCTTCTGTCCAAGTGTAGTACAAATCCAGGATAGTTTAAGAAAGTTGTTAAAATTTTAAAAACTTTAACCACAGAGTGAATGTAATGTTAACTGGCAGAAAAACTAAGTCCATTTATAAGTAAAATACGGAAAAAATGGAATTTTTTTTTTACAAAATTTACTTCTGGATACTATCTTATGATCATAAACAAGCTTCTTTCCAAGTTTGGTAGAAATCCAGGATAGTTTAAGAAAGTTATTAAAATTTCAAAAACTTTAACCACAGAGTGAATGTAATGTTTCCTGGCAGAAAAACTAAGTCCATTTATAAGTAAAATACGGAAAAAATGGAATTTTTTTTTTTTACAAAATTTACTTTTGAATATAATCTTATGATCATAAACAAGCTTCTGTCCAAGTTTGGTAGAAATCCAGGATAGTTTAAGAAAGTTATTAAAATTTCAAAAACTTTAACCACAGAGTGAATATTTGTGGACGACGCCGACGACAACGACGACGACGACGACGACGACGCCGACGGAATGTAGGATCGCTATGTCTCGCTTTTTCGACAAAAGTCGAAGGCTCGACAAAAAGGGTGCGAACGTGTAGGGTGCGAACGGACCTAGGGGCGAACGTGTGGGGTGCGAACGTGTATTGGGCGCAAACGGACCCAATACCCTTTAAAACTAGTAATCTCACTTTCATGTGTATAATCTTCAGGAAATTTAACTTAAAATCGTTCTTCTTATTTCATTAAATGTGTTTTTAAAACTTAGATACAAAGTCCACTCGTAGATGAGGGTCTGCGTGGGGTTTTAAAGAATCGACAAAATGTGCAGAAAAAATAGCAAACAAATTATGAATAAAGAAAAATATGGCAAAAAAGTAAAAAATAGAAAATAATGGGGCACTCAAATTTAAAGAAAATGAGTCACTCAAGTATGAAGAATATAGACCCTTTTAATTACCTTTTTATAAAAAAAATACAAATCAACTTTCAAGAAATAAGAAATAAGCATTGAACATGTTGTTTGACATAAAAAATATTAAACGCAGACAATTAACAAAAAAATACATCTTTTAGTTTTAAATCATACCTTTTAATAAATAATTTCAAAAATGAACTCGCAGAACAACTCTTCTTTATCATATATTTCAATAATTTTATTAGTGACAAACTTACTGCCAAAAGAAAAAGAAGTGACACCGAAATGAAGCTGAATTTTTAATAATGACAATTGACATATATTTTTCTTATTCAAAATTATAAAATCATTCTACATAGAATGTGTCATTTACAACCGCATATCTTCATAATGTACCTACATGTTACACTGAGGTATTGAGCAAAATTGACACAACTTTTGTTTTATATATACAATAACATGCATGATGGCTTACCATCACAAAAGAGTAAAAAAAGGAAAATCAACTTCACATCACCAGATCTATTAGCAAGAAGTGAGAAATTTGTATTGTAACGCGATGCAGTAAACATGGTGAAGAAACAATGAAAAATGATTGTTTCTAGCAATGTTTACCTTGTCACACAAATTTAAACCAATGTTTTTATGTTATCACCTTCAACATTCACAGTAGCCACTTCCAAACCCATTGCTCAAAGGTCATGCATCCCAATGAGATATGATGTATATTGAATTTTACAACCTTCAATCAGAGTTTAAAGTCTGAAGCAAGAAAATAAGACACTTTCATGACCACTGTTAGAGTGTTTCTACTCTATGTATATAGAAGCTGAAAATGTAACACTTATATGACTTAAGCCCATTTCTATACTGTTTTATGGTGTGATGTTTTTCAGATGTTTAAAAAAATTAGATGTGGTGTAATTGCAAATGAGACAACTTTATGTATTAACTGTCCCAAGTCAGGAGCCTGTAATTCAGTGGCTGTCATTTGTTGCTGTGTTACATGATATGTGTTTTTCGTTCATTTTTTGTACATCAATTAGGCGGTTAGTTTTCTCCTTTAAATTGTTTTACATTTGTAATTTTGGGGCCTTTTATAGCTGACTGTGCAGTATGGACTTTGCTCATTGTTGAAGGCCGTACGATGACATATAGCTGTAAATTTCTGTGTCATTTGATTTCTTATGGAGAGTTGTTGGATTGGCAATCATACGACATCTTCTTTTAAATTTTTATCAACCGAAGATCAAATGAAGTGGATTTAATATAAACAATTATAGGCAACCGTATAGCCTTCTTAAAAGAGAAAAACCCATACAGTATAGTTGGCTATAAAAGGACTTGAAATTACAAATGTAAAACAATTCAAACGAGAAAACTAAAGGCCTCGACATGTCTGTTTGTTTGTGTTTTTGTTTTTTAGCAGTCGTCAGTTAATTTTACTTTTTTTTCTGTACGTTTTAAGAAGACAACTGTTATAAGCTATTTGAGACATTGAATAGTTGCCCTTCGAAAGCATAGAACTGTTCAAGTTTTTACTAGCTTCAATAGTGTTATTGTCTATTGTATTGGTGTGTCTGACATGTCTCCAAGGCATCCATATTTAATAGTATTGTATATCACCTTCCACATTTTCCATATAAATTGAGATTACTAATGGCACTTCCTTTATACAAGGTGATATGATGTGCCGCTGGAATTGGTCACCTTTTCAAGCTTGAAAATATGTGTAATGGTCGGGAAAATATCAGAAAAATATGACTCTGAAATTTTCTAAAGGAATTTAAATTAAATTTTGCTATTTTATATTTTAGCCGGAAAAATTGTACAGTGACCCTATCTTTTCTTATAATATTCTCAAAGCATTTTCCAAAAGTTGTCTTCTCGTATTTATTTTACAATTCTATCATTCAGTTTACATGTAGCTTCTAATCGCATAATTAATGATGCTTTTTCCCTGTATAATCCATACAAAATGTGTCATTTTGTCACAATCTGTAGCTTCAGAAAATGCTCGATAACCTATCATTTTTTATTATATTTTTGAACATATCACAGTATATACTACATTTAAGCAAAGTATGCAGTGGCGGATCCAGAACTTTTCATAAGGGGGGATGGGGAGCACTAGCTGACCTGTTAAGGGGGCCCGCTCCAGTCATGCTTCAGTGATTCCCTATATGATCAACCAAATTTTTCCCACAAAGGGGGGGGGGGGGGGGGGGGGGGGGGGGGCGGATCCGCCTATGGTATGAAAAAATTCTATCAATTTTTAATTCATACTCCATTACCACCTTAACAGGATTCTAAAGGTTTTCTGACTTCGTCCCCTTTCACAGGTAACACCTGCCTCATATTATTCTTTTTTTTTTAACTAAAATAAATCTGATATTAATCTCAGACTGAATGGTATCTATAAAAGTGTATGTAGAAAAGAATATTGTTATTTTGTTTTAATCGTCTTACCTGACTGGATAACTTGAACTGCCTCTTCTGCAGTCTTTTTTAGAGGAAGTCGGTCAGGCAGTGGGTGGAATGGTTCCGGTGAATATAGATAATAACTTCTGACATTGGTGCTTACACAAAACTTGTTCAGACTCCGAAAACCAGACCTGACAGCTTGCAACGAGAATGCCATTTCTTGCGTTTGTCCAGTGGTAATATATGGCGTTAGTTCATACACCTAACAAATAAGGTAAACTCTGCAGTTATGAATTTTATGTTTTTCTTGTAGAAAGCCATCGTTCGTGACTCTTTATGCTTTATTGAGTTATCGGCTCTTTGATGATGACACTGGTTTCTTGTTCTCGAAGCATCCTGCGGCTTCTGTTCGTCGACTGGTACCGAATTTACGATAGATATTAGAACCTCTAGAGAATCACAGAAGTGCAACGTACCCAAAAAGATATTATCATAGCAGGTCACATTATCAATAATTACTTGCATATCTTAAAAGAGGAACAAAAGATGAATAAATAAAAACAGATCAAATAAGTGAGTCTTAAAAAATCGGATAAAATCACAAAGTAAACAACAAAAATCGGAAATTAACCTTTGGGATAAGTGGTGTCAAACTTCGGAACACGTAGTTGATCAATGATGTTTACTAATTCCCTTTTCACACCCACTCTGATAATATATATATTTAGACTAAGTGACCTGGAACTATTATGCAATAAAATAAACAGTTATTGCATATAATAGCAAAATGTTGCACACAATGATAAACTTCAGGAATCGTTAAGATAAAACAGAGACATATATATAGTGTATACTGTATATATAATATGGGGAAGGCGCTACCTTAAATGCCAGCTTTATACCAAGACTATGTCCTATATATTGATTGATTGTTGGTTGCTTAAAGTCCAGTGGCAAATATGTCATGCATGTTCAGGACGAATGTCCTACATATCTGTATAGTTTTTGTCTAAAATAAAATAATAAGTTCAGATGGAAAATGTTTAGGGAAAGATCATTGAAGTTCAAAAGGCAGGAGGGGGTATGGTATTTTTTTGCTTTGAAGTGTCGCAGGAAGGCGTCAAAGCAAAAATTTAAAATAGCCTTCCTAGACGTCATAATTATTTGGACTAGTATTTTTCTTAAAAAAATGATGGAAAAAAAATACTCTGTTCAAGCAGAGGATAAAAAAAAAATATTCTGAATCCAGATTTTCCCCTTACCTTCTAGTGTTATATTTTGACTAAATAATTTTGATTGATAGCATTGAAGCGCTTCACGTGTAAAAAATCTGACTCAAACAAAAAACCATACCTCCCCTCTTTGAAGCTAAATGGTTGCTCCCTTATTGTTTTCTGCTGAAAATGAATTTATTGCTGATTTATATAAATGACAATGCTTACATTCATTATCTTGTGCATTTTCATATCCATTTTTCTTTCTTTGCAAATTTTACAAAATTTAAAACAATAAGACATTTGTTTAATTTCAAAACTATGAATACTGTTATACAATCCATAACTTTATTAAATTAATTTTTTGTTGATTTTCATGAAAAGGTGGAGGATTTGGAATATCTTTTTCATCAATATCTAAATGTTGTAGTTGTTTTTTTTTATATAGTATTGCAAACAACACTTTCTGTTTGTTGAATTATTTTTACTTTCTAAATTAGCTGGTTGTTCATATTGTATTCCCAGTTTCCTGCATCTCATATATATGTGATCGGCAAGAGGATCATTCTGATTGTTAAAAAAGAAGAGTTTGAATTTACAGTGAGCCTGTTTAGAAGAATGTTTTGATCAGGTTTTTCATTTTGATCTAAGCATAAGGAACCATAAATAGGATTGTTAAGTTGATAATCTAAAGATTTTGCTATTTTCTGGGATGCTATTTAAAATTTGAGGGGAGTCTACTAAACACTGCTCAGCAGTATAAATGTATTAATTCCTTATCATCTTCTGTTTGTGGGTTTCTACATCAATTTCATGTACTAATTCAGAGTCAGTTTTATGTCATTTTTGCATTTTGTTTTATTAGCTTACTTTTCAAGTTTTTATACGACGGCAAAATAAAATTAAGAATGGAAATGGGGAATATGTTAAAAATTTGCTTTCGAGTAATGCAATCATGTCACTGTTGTTGTCCGAAGACACATTTGGTTTCCTGACAATAACTTTAGTTTAAGTAAATGGATCCCTATGACAATGTATGAACTTCAATACACTAAAGGAAGGTTAGAATTGATTTTGGAGGTTATCATAATTATTGTACCAACAGTTTGGGAGTCAGTGGTCAAAAACAACATTTTTGGGTTGTTTTTTCCATAATTTTTGTTTTTTTTCTCCAAAAATTTACCATATTTACATTGATTATTTCTCATTTATATATAAATGCAACAAATACTGATATGGCAGGTGATACATACGAAACGGGGTGTGTAAATTATTTTATCGGTAATTTGTGCATTTTTCCTTTGATGTGTACTTCTTGATAATGTCAACGTCAGTATCAGTGAACTGGTCATGATAAAGAAAATATATTGGGTCAGTTCGCAATTGACATGCATGAGTGCACCGCAAAAGGATCTTCTTTCCCTTTAATTCACTAAATTGCACATGATTTTTTTTGCAGAAACGCACAAGTTATTTCATGAATGAAACACTTGTCATTATTTGAAACTTTCAGTAATCAGCTGGTAATAAAAAGTTAGTTTAGTCTTTTTGAACGATTCACTGAATGTGTGAAAATTTGAACAGAAAATGTACAATAAACCTCAGTGATAAAATTGCGTTATCTGCAGAATTATTGATAGCTCTCCTTACTATTCACTAGGACATATAACTAACATATTGTCCATGCTATTCCGATCTGAGTTTTTATTCATACATAGTCTGGCATGGCTGGTGCTGTTCCAAGTTGTCTTCTTCTCTGCATGTTTCTTGAGAAGTATTTGTTTGACCTGGTCAGTCACTATAAAGTGTTACAATTCATATTTAGATGGAACACATAAATAGTGACCAAAAAGGTACCGCTTTAACATGTATGACATGAGAGAATCTAGAAAAAAAAATAAATGTACACATTTTCAACATTTTTGTGGGACTATCATATAAAATTAAGGAGATATGTACTTGGAGACTGCTGGTGAATAGAAATGTTCGGGCTCACATGATACCCATTTTCAAATTAGTCCATATTAAAATTTGAAGGGTCCAAAATTAAAATATGTTTGATTTCAACTGACATAAAATTTTTGGTGTTTTTTATATGCTAAATCTACATCTGTGGTTGTATCAGGCTGTGCTTGGCGAAGTATTTTATTGCTTTTTTGTTTGTACTTTATTTTATTTGGGTCATGAAAATTAACTTGTAGTTTTGAAGTTGCTAACATTTTTAAAAGATGATAATTAGATAACTTCGCATGGTGACTACACTGACGTTTTCGTAGATTTACTTTTTCCCGGGAATGCTTCATCTGTTGATATATTCTCATTGTGAACGATTTGTATATATCTAAATATATTAACCGATGTTAAAAGACATGTATAATGTCAAATCATAACAATACAAATTGTTTAGTCTCAAAGAAAACTTGTAAGATTTCCGCAGTTATTTTTGTTGAATAGGTGCAAATTGGGTACTCTGTGCAATTTGGGAACTGTGACGTTATAGCCATTAGTGTTTATTGCTTTAATAGGTTGAAATGTGCACCTGATAAAAGTATTCAGTAGAGGGAAAATGTTTTGATCAGGTTTAAACTGATGCATGAAATATACAGGCGACTGCATATGCGGGAGGCAATTATTTATATTGCATCCAAATAATGTGCTGGCAGCTTGAATTTCAATGGATGTAGCCCACATATTTCCAAGTAACATGCTCTATACCTATCAAAAGTCATGGTATTATCATGAGTTATTATAACTCCATCTTCCCATAAAATCCTATTTTGGACAATATGGGTGCATACAATATATATGTACCTATAAATGTATCACTCAGACTCAAGTCTCCTTTTACAGCTGTTTTGATTTATGATTAAACTCCTTGGACTGTTTAAGGTAGATATGTGTCATAATTTTTTATTAAGGACAAGATTTGTTGAGAGTTTGTAAAAAGGAAGTACAGTCTACAGATAGTGAATTTGAATATATTTTTTTGGTTAATTGAAACTTTTAAGTTTTGAATTTCACATCTGCATTTGTCTGAGAGCTACAGGAATAACCGTGATCACATTCAACAGTATAACCAACTTCATTATCACTGTAACTTGATATGGGAAATTCTGTAGCAGATGAATAATAGTGGTCATGGTCAACCAGAGGCAGAGCACCGGATTTTACTTCCTCCAGCTACGTTTCTCCCGAAATTTATTGCTTGAAGAGGGTTTTTCTGTGTTCCCATGGCTGAACGGAACTTTTACACTACAAATGTTATCATAAATTATGATATTGTAACTTTTAAATGAAGTACCTGTGGTTATTTAGGAAATTTGTCACTGATAATGGAAATGTTGTGATTGCGGATATTAACCTAATACCGATAAATACCTTGGATGGTCGTTCCTGCAGTCAGGAACGGCCGGATTGCTCTTCAGTAGAATATGTCGTCTGTATAGCCATTAGTTCATTACCGGAAGAGAGGGATTTCTGGGTAGTTCTTCGGACATCTCTAGATGGTCTGTCTGATGACCTAAAACTAACCCTACGAATACTACACTCCCCCCAGTTTTATTAATAAGGCCCCCTCTACTGAGGTGGGCCCTGTGAATTTCGCCAAAAATTAACAAAATACGGAAATCATACCCAATTTAGAGAAAATATGCATCAATTTATAATACACAGTATACACCCTATCCCCCCAACAATTTCAAAAAAGTATACAACCTACCCCCCAAACAATTTCAAAAAAGTATACAACCTACCCCCCAAACAGACCCTATTCACGGGTCTACTGATACACTAAAAAGTTAGTGCAATGGGTTCCCAACAAATTGGTAACCCAGCCAACTGTGAATTGTTCTCTGAATCGTATGCCAACTCTCCCCTTCCTTTATACAAACTATGCCCTGGACACTAAGTGGCTGCAAGTCTTCTATATAGTTGGACCCAGGAGGTTGTGCTGATCCCGTCTCCATTGTGAAGAGTTTGGTCTCATTTTTCCTCCCTTGCACTGTAAATATATCTTTGTTAAGGTAGGGAATTCCAGGGTCCCACTGTCTTCTGGTGGGACCCAACCTAACTGTGGCAATGGTCACACGTAAGACTGGTGTCCCACTGTCTACTGGGGGCGGCTGCAGATTAAAATAATTAGTGCCCAAATTATCTGCTTTCAAAAGTGAC